TTTCAATTCCACGTGTAGTTCCCGGGCACCCACTATGAGCCAGGCTCTGGCAGGCTCCGCGAAGACAGCAGGAATCCTGGCAGGTCAGGTCTACCGAATGCCCCAGGCGGCATCCCTGAGGGTCGCAGGTTCCCAGAGGACGCTGGCGTCCGCTCCCTTTGGGTTTACACTAGGGCTGCCGGCGCTCAGGCTCGTCTTGAAAGAAGGACAGGGTTTCCCTGGCGCGGGGCTGGGGGGCACGGGGAGCCACGGAAGGCGGAGGCCGCCTGAAGGCCCGCACTCCCCCCATCTCAGGTTCCATGCCCTCCATTAGGAGCGGAACTGACATTTTCACCTCCCCTCTGACAAAACTGCAGACTTTTGTGAGCAGATAAGGGAGCTAACACTTCAGCTGTAGACACTGCCCTGGCCAAGTTGCCTAACCTCTCGGTGACAGGGCAAATGCACTGCTACGCTCAGGTTTTCTTTCCTTTTTTGTAAATGTGAAAAACAAGAAGGCTACCACCGCCTACCTGAGAGGGCTCCTGTGAGAAGTGCTCAAGGGAATGTAAAGAGAACCCAGGACGTAGTCGTAGTTGCTGCTCAGCAGCTTTGAATTCTCGGCTCCTACCCAGCAGAGGAACGCGACACCCTCTCCTCCAGCCTCTTTTCCCAGGCTCCTCCCAACCTTATCATCTTCTCTGCCTCTTCATCAGGTCACGTCAGCCAACCGGCCTCCCCAGGAAAAGGAAACCTGGTCCTGGAGCCCTGAAGGGGAGGAGGCGGGTAAGGGGGCTCGGGGGCTTCCTGCTGGGGAGCGCGACTCACAGCTGCGACAGCGAACGCGGGGAAGGGGCGATGCACGGGGAACTCTCATGCAGGGGACGCAGTCCACACGCACCCCCGACCCGGCCTCGGCTCGCGCGGCCCCCGCGAACGGCCCTCGGTCCTCCAGCGGTCCGCTCACCTCTCCCCCGAGGGCGTGAGCTCCCTGAGGACAGAGCCTGCCCTCCGCACCTCGCAGCCCGCGCCCCCACCTGACCCTTCGACGGCAGGCCACGCCATGCCCAAAGACGGAGGAGAGCGCGGGGGAAGGGCAGCTGCTGGCCTCCGGCATGGCCGCAGCCGAGTAAAGCCAACTTAGTGGTCGGCGGCCACGGCTCCCCTGGGCACCCAGTCGCCAGGCCTAGCGTTAGAAAGCTCCTCTCTGGAAAGCTTACAACGTGCAGGGCACAGCGCTCTGACCCTGCAACCCCGGCCACTCCCTACGTCTGGCAGGGACTCCCACCTTGGGTCAGGAACAGATGGTGACTATGCAGGCCATGTGTCTCGAGGTCACAGTCCAGCAGCTTGCATCCCAAGGCTCTCTGTCTCACAGGCCCAATTAGAAGGGCTCCTCAAATCTGCACTCAGCAGAAGCCCACTGTGCAGAAAGCTACTGCTTATCTCCAAATCCATAGAAAGACCATCCCTCTCTACAGACATTCACACCAAGGCTCCCTAAGGAAAAGCTACATGAAAAAGAGAAGTGAAAGCAAAACCAACCACAAGAAACTACGTACCAGATGCGTTCTGTGTCCGCGGGGGTGATTTATGTGTGTGACATTCCTTGCAATGCCAAGAGGGCCAGAACCACGAACTCCGAGGCAGAGCATGCAGCTCCGCCGCGCAGCCGTGGAAAGTACGGCAACCCACGCTGCCCAAGCTCTTGTCGAGCAGCTATTTGAAAGCCACACTGTAAGACCCCGCCGGATACGTGATTTCCTTTAGTTTACAGGGGAGAAACTTAGGTTCCTACCCACAGCCGGCTGCACGAGGACGCAGAGTGGGGTCCCACCTGCTGGACCTCCCCGGCCTCTCTCTCCTGGCACTACAGGCCTCACCCCAGCCCACCCTGACGGCCACCTGCGGGCCAGGTGCGCCCTCCCCGGCTTACGGCGGCAGACAAGGAAGGCCGAGGAAGGTGACTTCTATCATGTAAGTTTTGCCTTGGGAAAAAGCAACTTTTCCGCCTCCAAAGTGTCCCGGTCATTGAGCACAACAACGTAGGATGAAATGAAGATGTGCCACGCTAGGGCTAGCTGGCATCAGTGCGGGAAGGACGCGGGCGTCAAGGGAACTTCGTGAAGCTGGAGCTCCATCAGCAATGCCATCTCCCCCACGTGGGCCGCTGGGCACTCGCACAGTCCCGAGTCCTCAGACCTCCCATCTCCCTGCCCGAAGCCGGCCTCGCGAAGCCCCTGGAGGAGCCCGAGGCTTTCCATGTTCAGAGGCAGGCCACGTTCGGAATCCCTAGGCCACTTCACAGGACCGGGGGGGAAAATAACCACAACTTCCCCTGCACTTAGTTCCTCCCCCAAAGAGCTGCTGAACCTCATCTGGAAACAGCTGGAAGGCAGTTTACAGGAAACCAAAACGAAAAAAAAAAAGCACAGAGTGTACCAGGGAGTTAGGCAGCTGAACGAAGAGGCCAGGGCACAGAGAGGAAGTTGGTCAAAAAGCGCCCAGGCCAGAAGCAGTCACACAGGAGAGGAGGCCCCGCCGGCCCTTCTCCAGGCCCCGGAGGCGGCGCGGCCCTGGGCTCACTGGCGGCCTGGAGGCTCGCGCCCAGTGGGAGGGCGGTCCACACGCCTCCGCGGCTAAGTCGTCTTCCCTGGCTGCCCCCCACCTAGATCCGACTTCTCCGAAAGCCAGCGAGTGGCCGTGACAGGGCAGCTAAGGCCTGAAACTCCCTTCTGCTCTCGAGCAGCTTTCTGCTTCCCAGAGGCTACAGCCCAGACAGCTGGTTTTGAGTCATTCCTGTCGCTCTGTACCCAAGTTCCACACTGCAGCTCGACTCGAGGGCCCTCCGAACCAGCCCCACACAGACAGACGGGCAGACAGCCAGCAGGGGCCTGCAGTGGCAGGGCTCGTGCAGGGAAGCAGGACAGCCAGCGGGGTGGGAGGTGCGGAGAGCAAGGTAAGCCTCTGACCAAACTACGGGTGCATTTTGCAATCAAGAAAGTTAATTGAGCAATGGCCAGCTGCCAAACATTTCTCAAAGAAGTGGGGGGGGGGGGGGGAATGCCATTACTAAAATTCCTTGGTGTTATTTAATAATAAGCCTTTAGGTTATCCAAAGTGAGGGCAAAGGTGAGACTGGCTTATTTCTTTCCTTTAGCAGAGCGTCGATGAGCATCTTCTAGCCCATCCCTCCTGCTACTCAGTTGTCTATTCTCCCCCTGTACATGCAGTTTATATTAAAAACAAGGACGAGGGTTAAGTGCTTTTAATAAAACACATTCCTGTCTCTCATCCCTAGTTTTGTGTGAAAGGGCTTACTCACACTGGAATATACGCTGCAATCTCGCTTAATTCACATGGAAGTGTTCAAAATTTGAGATGGAGTGAGCAGGGCCAAGAGAAGGCAGAGGGCTGCAATCTCAATACCATTTGTCTAAAAAAAGCCAGAACATCTTCACAGGCTCAGAGCCAACTCAAACTGGCAAGACCAGAGAAGCGGAGCCGAGCAGGACCAATGCCCCCGCGCAGGGGGCGGGGGAAGCAGCCAAGTGGCAAACAAGCCACCAGGGAAAGCTTCGAGAGGAAATGGGAGGGTGGGGGCATTTCAGGAACATAACAAAGGAACAAACTGATTAATCATTTATTCCAGAGGAGGAAAATGTCACCCGGAGCCCAGTATCCAGTGTTTTAACTTCAGGTAAATGTGTAATGTTTTAACTTGGACGCATTCCGGGCTCATGGTTCTCAAAAACAAGGTGAGGGCTGCGGGACTGCTCCTACTTTCATCTTTACACTTTTCGGAAATCTCCCAGGAAACCTCCTGCACTGCCCGCAGAGCTGACCTAACGCAGCCCCAGACAGTCCAATTATAGATCAATAGTCCCCACTTAGCAGAGCTCCCAGGGCACGCCCCGCCCCGCAGCCAGTCCAGGGAGCCACGCTGCCCAGACAGAAGTTACCTGCGCAGACACCCAACACCTGCGCCGAGGAAGCCAAGGAAGCAGAGCGTGCAGTGCGAGAGCTGGCTGTTTCAGGAGCAAAGGAAAGAGACCTCTGCCCAGAACCAACCCTACCTGTCAGGATGGTGTCTGGGACGCCTGCCCTCAACACTGAGGAGCCTCCTATAATGTTTCAGGGCCGGCCAGAGAGAACCTTCCGACGTGCCAGGGGGACAGGCTGCACCTCCGATCGGTGCGGGGCGGGGGGGGGCTCTGGCAGGCTTCCTAGGAGACGCCCAGGGCCCCCCTCCCACGTTAGGGGAGGGCTTCCCAATCAGGGAGATGACCCTCTGCTGGGACAAGAACAGCAGCTGCCGTTACAGAGCATCTAACTATGTGCCAGACACAGGAGTAAGAACTGTACCTGCCTCCTTCCCTCTCCACAACAGCCAGGGGAGCCGATAGGACTGTCATCTCCCCTCCTTTTTTTGAGAGAGGGGAAGGGAGGGAGAAAGAAACATCCATCGCTGCCCCTCCTACGCGCCCCCACAGGGACTGAACCCGCAACCCAGGCACATGCCCTGACCGGGGATCAAACCAGGACCTTTTGCTCTGCGGGACGACCTCTAGCCCAGGAGCCACACCAGTCTGGGCTGTCATCCCCTCTTTATAAAGGGGGAAACGGGCTCTGAGGTTCTATCAACCATTCAAGGCTGGAACCAGCCTACTTAACCACCCCTGGACAGGTAGTCCTAACTACCAGACTGCTAAAATACACAAAGCGTCTCGGGGAAGGGCGGGCTACAGCAGAGTGATACAAGGTACAGCCTGTCTTTACACCTCCTTCTTGTGCAAAATCGGTGGCCCTGGGGGACTGGAGCAGAGGATCTGGACGGGGAACCTTAAGCCGGAAGAACCCGAGCACTGCTGACAGGGAAAGAGGCCAGGGCCCCCTAAGCCTTCTCGAAGGGGCAAGACCCAAAGGGAATACGTGAAGTCAAGGGGCCCCCCCACCCTTGTTTTGTCAAAGGGAGCTCGGCTCGACAGGTGGGGCCAGCCGGGGGTCGCCGGGTCCTCTACCTATAGGCCAGGGTCATGCACTCGAAGAGCTTGGTGAGCGAGGCGTCGATGGACAGGTGGCAGGAGCTGGTCTTTCCGAAGCTGTAGGTCTGGCACGTCTGCTTGTTGACCGTGTCGAAATCATAGCCCTTCTTGGGCGGGTGCTCGCGGTGCGGCGACGATACCATGAAGTGGCCGCTGTGGATAATCTGCTGGCGGCGCGGAGGCTCCTCGCGGCCCGGCCCGGCCCAGGGCGGCGGCGGCGCGGCGCTCGCGTGGGCCCGGGCCGGGTTGGCGGCGCCGGAGGCGGGCGGCGGGGACGGCTCATCAGTGTCGGAGTCGTCGTCGTCCTCAGGCACCGGGGGTTTGAGGAGCACCGGGCGGCCCCTGCTGCTAGGCCGGCGCGGGGAGCACATGAAGACGTCGGCGGCCATGGGAGCGCCCGGCCGGGGGCATCCCCCGGGGTCCGGGTCGAAGCGGGCGAGTGAAACGGATGGAACGGCAGCCCGGCCAGCGCGGGGACTGCCCGCGAGTGCGCCGCGGGGCGTGAAGGGGGAGGGCGCGGGCCCGGGCTTGACGTCACCGGCGCGTCTCGGCCAATCGGCTGCCCGCGTCGGCCTCTTAAAGGCGCAGGGGAGCTTTGGCGTCTCAAGGCGGACAAAAAGAAAAAAAAATGGGGAGCGGGGCCACGCCTCCAAGACTCGCCCCTTGTCGCCCCGACCCACTCTGGGCTGGCCTGGTGCGGTGGGAAGAGTTGGCCAGGTAGTGCCACTCGCCGGTGTCTGGGCCTAGGAAAGGCGTTGGCCCAGCAGGCTCCGCCGACCCAGCCCCGCTCGCCGGAGAATCGCCTGGAGGCCTCGCTGCGGGCGGGGCGGGCCCTCCACGTGGAGGGTGGGGGTGGGGCTCCTTCCCCCTCCCAGGCTCCCCTTTCTCCAGTAAGGCCCGGAACTGTCCTAGCAGCTCAGACCTGAAGTTGGAGTCACTGTGGTGGTTGTTCCCGTTTTATTGATGAGAAGAGGGAGTCGCCGAATACCGCAGGAATTTTTCTAAGGAGAGGACCAGATCAAGAACACTTCTCACTGAGACCTCACTAATAGAGAGGTGGAAAGGGGCTCTGCCAAGTCAAGGCATTTTCCTGGGGCACGACGGCAGTGGCGGACGGCAGTGGCGGAGGCGCTTGTGAAGGTCTCAGCGTTTGGAGGGCGAGCCAGCCCCAAACAATTCGGAAAGGGGAAACTCTGAACTTGAGCCATAGTTTTGTTTTTTGTCAAGCGGGGAATGATTCCTATGTCTCAGAGACTTGTGACTGTTAAAAAACGTCTACGAAGTGTTTAGCAAAGCACCTAGCACAGCATGAGTGCTGAATAAATGCACTACAGGCTGAAAGAAGTGAGCCAACCAGCCAGAGGCACCTAAATAACACCAATACTCAACTGCTTTTGACCTACAGAAACGGCAATTTCCTGTGGTTCCACCTAATAATGAGCACTTCCAGAAAGCTGTCGAGGTTTCAGGGACTCAAAGCCAGCCTGGGATGGGGACACAGTGGGGAGGATCAGGGTGGCAGGGCATCGAGGGCCCAGTGAGCCCCCAGCACCCACCCCTGTCCCAGGGGGGCCTCAGGAGCCCTCCACAAAAGCGCTCTGTGCCCTACCGTGCAGCCAGTTTCGGTTGGAGGCTGATTGCTCCGCCCACCCTCCACCTGAAGGCGCGGGTGTTGGGGATGGAGGGGAGGAAGGGCTCATCAAATTGGCAGCAGTAACCCCTTTCCTCGATATCTCTAAGGAGAAATAGGTCGCAAGGGATGGCCAGCTTCCCGTGTGAGTTGGAAAGGCCCAAACCACCGCTTTGAACTCTGGCTACAAATATCTGAACGTCCAGCCTTTGAGTTGCTATCCTTCATCTGAAAATGTTTCTTCTTGGTAAACCCTTAAATGCCCGGCCACATCCCATACAGCAATTCCACATCTAGAATTTTATTCCAACGATATTTGTACAAGGATGATGATTGTAGTACCATCTATGAAACATGAACAGAAACAATGTGATGTCTAAAAAGGGAGAAGTCATTGGATATATCATGGCCCCAAATATAATGGAACACTACGTATTAAATGGTGCAAATGTATATTTATTGACGTGGATAGAAGTCCATGATGTATTGTTGGGTGGCAAATAAAAAGTTATCAGTAGTTTGATATCAATTTCAAAAATAAATAAATGCATGTATTAATGTGTGTATGTCAGAAAGTACACCAAGTTAACTAACACCAGTTAGCTCATTATCTCTGGGTGGAGTGGTTTTTATTTTTCTTCTTTCTTTTCTAATTTCTGAAAGCAAAAAATTGTTACTTGTATACTTTTTTTCTTTTTTGGAGTGTACTCTTTATTTCTGTTTGGTTTCTTAACACAAAAGACATCCATGAAGGAGAATGTATACTTTTGTTGAATTAAAAAATATAAACATCAATGTCCTTAAAAGAGATAACCTCCCCAGGCTGATGTTAAAACTGGCAATCTTTGGGCCATATTTGGTGCACACACATGCTGTGTGCACAGTCCTTGCTATATGTTCCTAGAAGTTGTATCAGAGAAGAAACGAGATGAGGAAAACTACAGCTAAAAGTGCAGGAAGCAGAGGATCCCCAAGAGTGAGACTGTAGGGGGCTCCAGGCTCACGATCAGCAGCTGCAAGGAGGTCTCAGGGGCGGTTTTCAGGAGAATGGAAAATGCTTGAGGGGCATCCGGGCTGAGGCCCCCTGCCCCCTGAGCGGCGGGCAGCATTGCAGGCCCCCAGAGGGACAAGCCCCACAATGCTCCTGAGAGCGGAGAACTCCATGGAGGACAAAGAGCTCCCCTACCTGGCAAAGCCCAAGTACATGGAGAGCCAGCTCCTTTTCCCAGATTAGAAGCAACGTAGCCACTCCATCGTCATGGAACGGGCAATCAGGAGCACAGGAATTCCCAAATTCGAAGTATTACAGACCAGCAAACGTCAGCCAACAGGTAAAGCACACCAGGGCCCTGCAAGAAAGCTGCCTGAGAGGTAGCAAGTGCAGCGGGAAAGTGAACAGAATGAACAGAAGACTCTTAAAGTAATGAATAGCCTTATGCAGAATACAGAAGGGTCGGCACGCATTAAGCAACAACCCATTATGGGAAAGAAGCAAGGAAAGGTCTTAGAAAATAAATACTAATGCACAATTATGAATAAGAAGGAAAAGCTGAGTTGAACAGCAAAATGAATACGGCTAGAAAAACACAGCCAGTAAGCTAAAAGATTAGTCGGAGCATTTCTCCCAGAAAACTGCCAAAAGGACGAAGGGAGGTTAAGTGACATGGAGGATATATTGAAAAGTTCTAACACCGGCCGAATAGTTCCAGAAAGAAAGAGGAAATTGAGAGAGACAGAGGAAAAAATAGAGGAAATAATGAAAGCAGCAATAAAAGAAAACTTCCCAAGGTACTAAAACCACAAGCCTTCTGTGTGCCTCAGTACAGACTGCGCTGTGATAACAAACCACACCCAAATCTTAATGGCTTAAACCCACAAAGGTGTGCTTCTGGTTCAGGCCACCTATCTATGGGCTGCCTGTCCGTGGCAGGTTGGCAGTAGACGCCACTGATTGTCATCACTCCAAGGTTCAGGCAGACGGAGCAGCCACCGCTGCAAACGTTGCCAGTGGCAATGGCGAGGAGAGAGAGCTCACCAGGGTCTTCCGTTGTTGAAGAAATGGTTTGGCCCGGAAGGGACGTGAACTCACCCGGTATTGGCCAGAACTAATCACAAGGCCACTTTCGACCACAAGCGAGCCAGGAAGTACAATCTGATCACATGACCAGCAAACAGCCACAAGTATGTGAACAGGACTGATGAGTGGTGACAACGATCCCTTTGAGTTGCTAGGGTCCCTGTAAATGCAATGTCATAAATGACCCTCTAAAGCATTATGCTAAGTAAAAGAAGCCATATATTGTTTAGTTCCTTTTATGTGACATCTGGAAAAGGCAAAATGATAGGGACAGGAACCAGATCAGCGGTTGCCAGGAGCTGGGAGGGGAGGGGACTGACTAGAGAGGAACAAGGGAACTATTTGTTGTTGTGGTTACAGGACTGTGTAAGCTTCTCAACATTCACAGAAATACACACCTGACAAGGGTGAATGTTACTCTTTGTAATTGTACCTCAATAAATCTTGCAGGATAAAAGGTAAAAATGGCCTTTTCATCCACAGGCCATACTTGAAAGAATTACTAGAGGTTTTTCTCCAGCAGAACAGCTACTGAATTCAAGAGAAAGAGATAGGACCTAAGAAACAGTGTTGAGTAATAAAATAAAATGAAACTTAAAATTGAATTTTAAAATTACAACTTTAAAGGTTTTTATAAAAATAAAATGAAGTTTAAAAAAATCAAATCATGTGAGAAGGCTGTACTTAAAAATAGCAGCCCCCGCGCGGCGTGCCCAGAGCTGGCCGTTCAGGCCTGTCCCCGTCCTCCATGGGGCAATCGCTTCCAAACTGTTTAGTTATTACTTCTAGTACTTATCTCCACCTTGAAAAAATGCTCATATGTATAGTCCAGAGTCATCAATTTCACACATCCTCTATTGACTTGTGTTAGAATTATTATACTTTATTTTTTTTCCTTAATAATTGTTTAAATTGATTTTAGAGGGAGAGAGAGGGAAACTGAGATTTGCTGTTCATTCGTCGGCTGCATGTGCCCTGATCGGGGATCAAACCAGCGTCTTTCGGTTACCAGGCTGGCCGGTCAACCCACAGAGCCACACCAGCCAGGGCTCTGTCAGTTTCTCTTGAACTCGTGCTTTACGTGGGAAGCTTCCCTCGAAGCCTGACGTCCATTAGGATGACTGATAGGGTCAGTGTGCATGCAGCTGGGACATGGTGTGTCAGCTGGTGAGTCCGTGGGTGGCCAGGCAGCTTCTAGACCTGAGCCTCCTGTTAGAAGCTGGAGGTCTTCCCTCTGAGCGGTTCCGATGGCACAGATGACCCCTCGTCGCCTTCTGGGAGGGAGGGTATAAGCTGAGCTGCGGAATCTCTGGAGCACGGCCAGGGAAGGGGACAGTAGCCTTGCTGTTCGCTCTGCCCACGCCACTGAATTGCCGCCCATTGCTGGCGGCCTCCGGCTCCTCCCTCCCTGCACTCCTCCGTGCCTACTGTCCCTGATTCTGGAGCCTCCCTGATTTAATTTCTCCAGACACTCCATCTCCTGTCCCCCGCAGAGGGACGAAGGGGCAGGCGGCCGAGACACTGCAGGATGCGGGGCGGCCACCTGGAGGTCTGACTGTCTCACAGGCAGACTCTCCACCAAACCCTGTTTCTAATCCTCTGCTCTCTGCAGTCACCGACGCCTCCGGTCCCGGAGGCTTCCAGGGTTCCGGGTGGGACCAAGCTGTGCAGGGGGACCCACGCCTGCAGCGCTTGGGTCTGTTCTTCCTCCGCCTCACGAGTTCATTTCCATCCCTCCATTCTCCTTCCCACTTCCCCAGACAGTGGCTGGGACGG